CAGACCTCCTGCTTTAGTACAACTCGGCGCTCCACTCTGGCCACGGGCTTTTTATTACCTCTGTCCTGCCCCCGTTCACCACCACCACCACATCTCATTTCCAGGCCACCTGTGAATACATGTACACGACGGAGACGGATCTCTCTGCTCCACCACCAGCTCAGACCAGAGCAGCAGGAAAAGGGCCGGACCCCTCCATTATCATGCACTCCACCCTGCAAACCCACATAACATTCTGCATGCACTGCATCACTTACACTCTCTCTCTCCTCCTCGCCATCATCCGTTTTTCAAATTCTCCACTGTGCCAGGGCACCCCCCCCCCCACTCTCTCAATCTCTCTTTCTCTCCACCAGGCCTCAATCTCTTTCACTGCATTCTCTCTCTCTCTTTCCTCCTGGACACGCAGCACCAGTGTTATCACCACACTGCAGATGTTTTTCCTCAGAAACACATCTTATCAGCAGGACTAAACATCTGGCATTAAAAACTTTTCCCGTAGAAATTCAACCCATTAGGCTTAGTGTAGCAGTTTATGTGACGTCTGCACGACTCGAGAGAGGAGCCAGAGCTGGATGGGCTCAAGATGGCCGTGCTAGCCTCTCAGTCCCTGTAGGTCAGTTTGTTCTCAAACTGGGAGTGAGGCACAGAGCCATTGCAGGGGAGGGGGGTGCCCAGGGAAAATATGGAGTGAAACTAAGCTGAAACATATGATTTATGTAGAGAGAATAAACAAATGTCCATCCTATTGTGCATGGACATCCTTTTTTTTCATGGCGAAAAAAAGGCTGGGAACCACGCACTGTTCTAAGTGACTCTAGACAAAGGTATGACAACACTCAGACGACACTACACTAAATCCCACAGTCCCATCTGGGCTTTAGCTTTGAAAGGTGCAGCTACCAGCAAATTTACGTATTTGATCTGCACGTACTCAAGACCCTAAATTACCGCATTAATCTACATGTATGTTATATCTGACATTCACTTAGTAGATGATGAAAGGTAAAGCAATCTTTGCACAACTGGGAGTAGCTTTATTCTAAATTCGTTTTAAAGGCCTAGACACAGCCGTGCAGTCTGGGAAGCTGAAGAAAATTAACTAATCAAATGTAGTGCATCAGTTTATGCATGACAGACTATAGAGATGACAGAAAGTGATGAGCCTCGCAAGCAAATATCATTAAACTCTGTATTGGGAATTACTCTCTTTCCAACTGAGACACAATGTTCAAAATATTCCAACAAGGCCAGAGGACATGATTGAATCATCTAAATCAAGTGTTTGGCAGAGCTTTCCCAAATCTACCGGGAGGACATGATGCTAATGTGCAATTAATGTCATTTTATTTTCTGCAGAAAAGCTGGATGAACTCTGCGTCTGGAGATAACACCAACACTCATTTCCACCCAGAATCTCTAAACGACGAGCAGCCACAGTGAAAACTAAACCCCCTCCACGAGGCTCTGTTAGCCCAAAGGGTATATTACTGTCATTTATTAGTTTGTCACCTCCTCGGCTCAATTGCTAAAGCACATTTACAGCGGTCCTTTCCTTTAGTAGAGTGTAGCTCTCATTTCACAGTGACTCTGCAGGATTTAATCCAGGCCCACCATATGTGTGTGTGTGCGTGTGTGTGTACTGTATATGTTTGGGTGCTGTGCTTCAAAAACTTGGAAAGGAAGCCAGATGCAGAGAACAGGGAGGAAAAACATGTGATACAATAAAATGGTACGTTTTATGCCCACTGGCACACAGATAGAGTGGAGTACAACAAGCACGCGGGAATCCATTAGTGGAACCTGATTATCTCTTGGCTCTAAAATTAATTAAGTGAGTGTAGTGCAGTGCGTGTGTGTGTGTGTGGGGGGGGGGGGGGGGGGGTCTTGTTGTCCATATCTTTTCTCTTCTTTTTTAAAAAACAACAAATCCTTGTATGTGACTGCACTGAAAGGCAGATGGGGGTGGGAGGTGCATGAATGGCTGTATTCCAGCATGCTTGAAACTGCAGTTGGTGGTGGTGGTGAGGATGGTGGTGGTGGTGGGGAGTGCGTGATTATACAGCGACTTCATGTCCTTTAACGTTATTGTCAGCCACAGTAAATTCTGCTTCCTATCCTCACACTCTTCCCTCCTCTGTTCTCTCCTTATTTCCTCCCTTTGTGCTTCATGTTTTCTCAGACCTCGGGTGTTTCCTGGAGCCTGCAGATTCAGTGCAGACGCAGTGGATTTGTTTTTTGCTGTTGTTCTGCAGCCTCTCTATAGGCTGTAGTGCTCTGGGTCGCACTGTCCATTGACCATTTATCATGATGAATTCAGAGCTGGTTGACTAAAGCTGAGCCTATTACCTGTAGTCTCCCTTTTTCATCAAATACAGCCACACACAAGTGCAATCACTGTATGATTGCTTTCTTCAATCACATTTTCCTGCAGGAGGTTTTCGCTGTAGCAAAACCTGAGCTCACTGCACTCTGGCTTTAAGTTTTGCTGATGTGATTTAACAACAGATACTGCAGGATAATGTGAATTAAAATTAAACTGTCAGAGCCATTTCTACAGTAGAAGCTTCTTCTTCAGTATATCTGCTTGTATAACACTATTGCAAACACTGGTGCTAAAAGGACTGTTGTTTATTAATATGTTTTGGGTCAATGTGGTAAGGGTATCTGAATTTATTAGATTATTTTGTTTCCTGAATTAGTCAAAACTAGGCATTGTTGTCTGGTAATTTTCTCCATTGATTTCCCAGAAAAGTAATTTCAGGGCTTTGGTTTATATCATTTTCACATCATGGTTGTGGCTCATTACAGTATATATTGTGATATATGACAAATTGTGAATGGATAACCTAATCGGAAATGTACTACATCCGAAAATCATATATAAATCTAATAAAGCAGCTCCAGCTGATGTACGACAACAACCTGCAAACTATAGCCAAAACGTGTGTAGGGGATAGCTAACACTGTATAAATGTTATGGCAAAATCTTTCCACCTGACATACATACATATGAAATGTCTCAGTATATTGTTGAATCACCTATACCCACCTCTATTATTATATGTATCAAACATCATTGCTTTTTACTGAAAAATTCTATTCATATTATGGACTCTTATTGAAAAAGGGAAAACCAATTGTAACCCACATAAATGCCACTGAAACACTAAAGAATAAATTGAATTAAAGTTCATTCCTTCTGCTCCCATTTAATGCCAGGCTACACTGTGGTTATCTGTCAGTGGATGACCTTTTGTGTCAGGATGAGAACCCTGCAGTGAGTCAATTACTATAGCCAAATGCTTTGAGTGCAGCAAAAGGTAAGTGCTATTAAAGCTGGGATACCTGGGAAGCCAGCGGGGAACTTGACGTATGTGACAGCCTGGCAACAATCTGTCTGTCACGGCAAACGACACAGGGTGATGTTGAATTTGTATTTCAGCTTTAAAAAAAAATCACTGTGGCTTCCCTAATCCAGAGCACTGTCTGAAAATTTAATTTACAAGTGTGATTACGCTCCGAGAAAATGAACTCACTGTGCCGACAATATTAAATATTACGCAATAAAAGACAGATCAAAATAAATTTGCCCAATTCCCACATTTCAATTGAATGGATGTTGAGCAAATTAAAGGGAAGCTGACAGTTTCATTAGGACTAATACCACAGTGTAATCCAGCCATGCAGCCAACCCTCTCACAGTGTAATCTTCAGTGTAAACCTTCATGGGCAGGTCTCCTTGTAGGAAGCTAAAGCCTGTTTCTCAGCATAGCAGTAATCCCACTAAGGCTCTTAGAGAAGTGAAATAATTTCAGAGGCTTTATGATGGGTACACACTTACTGTGGAAGATGGCTAATAAATAAACATCTCACAAATCCTCTTATGGGAATTGTTGGGGGGCGTCTGAGAAACCAGCAGTGGAGATGCTGGCACGCTTCATCTCAGACATCAGGAGCAGCTTTGATCCCTCTTCATTTTTCCAGGTGGAAAAGTGCGTTTGACCTGAACCACAGCTCCAGCAGGGACATCATGACTCATCCTCCCTCCTCCTCCTCCTCTTCTCCACATTCACACACACCTCCAACAACCCCCCCCCACCCGCTGCTACGCACAAGTGCACACATGCTCCAACCTGAATTGTGCCATAGCTGTGTTGCAGTAAGAGGCGGCGAGGTGACTGAGTAGAAACTAAGAAAAAAAACGGTTGAGTGTATCGAGCTGTGGGCCCTGGACGCTGTACAGGTCGTGATGAGGGACCTACAGCAGGGGGAGGCAGGAGCAGCTGGTGGCCCGCTGATCTGTCCCTGTACTAGAGGCTTTCACAGTCTCCTCTCAAGCTATTGATGGAGACAGATGCCAACAGGATGACCCCATATCTCTCATTAGTGCACCCTGTGTCACACTCTGCACACACTATGTCCAATGATACATCAAAGTCATCCCCTGCTGGTGGGTTCACATACATTCTCAAGGCAACATATATAGAATAATATGAGACACCAGGGTCTCACTGTAAGATTTAATGGGGCTTCTTTTTCTCCTTGCATGTTTCAAACCCTTCAGTGTTCTTTCATGAAAACCAAATGTGGCACAGAACATTGAATATGCATGACTCCATCCTGCTCAAGAGCTGCATCACTCCACTAAAAGGACGGATGTAAAGCTGCAGGCGTCCTCCTCTGGCAAGGCCAGATGGGATGAAGTGAGACAGGATTTGATCTTCATCCCTCCACGGAGCAAAAAGGGTCTTTTAACACCGTGCGTCACGTCAGATATACAGGCCCAGGGCTGGAGCCTGGATGAGGGTGCGTGTCAGCAATATGGAGGTAGGAGAGCAGCTGTATGCGTGGCATGTATAATGTCGACATGATTAAAAATATATATCAGTGAGTGTGTGTGTGTATGTGCAGGATTTCACCCAAAAGCCACATTGAGAAACAGAGAAAGACACAGAAATAAAGATCGTTACATATGATTCAGCTTGTTTGGCTCTTACCTCGACGTTCTCCCACACGGCATAGGACAATACAGCCATCAGCACAGGTAATGCGGTATGTCCCATTTTCTCTCCTTCTTTTGTCTCTTTTTATGACGAACTTGTTCTTATGGAACAACTGACTCCAACATACGCGGTCTGATTGTTACATCAGCTGCAGTGGTGGACGGTGCGCTCCGCGGCCTCTTCCCTGCGTTTATCTCCTGCGTCTGCGTCCTGCTCGCTCTCGCCAGCTGGGATTGTGTGTGGATGAAGCTTGACAGAACCAAGCCCTGTTTCTGCGGGTATTCATCACACACGCTTTTTTATTTTCTCATGGTGGTGTCTTAGTGTGGAGCGACATCTGGTGGTGTTTGGGGGGTGGTGGCTCACCAGCTGATTCTGTGCGTCAGAGAATGAGAATCCAAAACAAGAGTCCACGTTGTTGTTGATGATGGTGAGTCAGTCATTCTTTTGGTTTCTACTGCATGGTTGTATCAGGACAGAAATCCTGCAGCAGGTCCAGAGAATAGAACACTCACAATGTTTCTGATTCACACATTCACTGACTGCACAAAGTATTGTTTTGATCAGGGGAACATAAAGAAATATTATATTTTTCTGCATTGCATGAGTTCCACACATGGCCCATGCCTGCAATACATTTTTACAGTTTTTGTAATTTACATTTGTTTAAAGGGCGAATCATACAATGTGCAGATTGTATTTTTTGTTCTGCACCCGAATAGATTTTCATGTGGACACTACGCACCTCTCTCTGCAACATAAAACTTCAGCCTGGGCTCCTCCCCAAACTATAATCATTTTACGATTAACTTTGTACATGGAGACATTAACCCATTAAAAGACAAGAAATGAGCAAACTCCCAATTACTTAGAAGAATTATTGCATGCAGACCTT